TGGCTTTCTGTCCTGTGGGAGAGTTTTAAGATATACCTAGTCTTCAGGCATAATGTTAGGGTGAGTGTTTCCTAAAAGAGGGGCCAGGTGTTGGGCTATGAAGACTTTGATAATGATTGATGGCCTTGATGATTTGTCCCAGGGACATAAACATATTGCATGAGATCATGACTCTTTGGGTCTAACAAAAGGTCTGTTTGGAAGAAAGATCTTCCTCAGAGAATCTCAAAATGGCTAGACGGGTTTCAGATTTTGGGGTGATACAGGCTCTTAAGAGTACAGTGGGGAGCAAAGTTGACCATAATTGTTGGGTTTCATGTATTAACTTTGTGAAGTGCTTTTTCTGGTTTGGTTGGCTCTCTCCACCTTCCCAGAAGATTGTGGATGCCAAGACGCATGCAGATAATATTTGAACTGGAGAGCTTCACTGATTCTCTGCGTTATTTGAGAAATGAAAGTGGGGCCATTGTCTGACTGTAGGGCATGAGGGAGTCTAAAACAAGGAAGAGTGTGGTCTAAAAGGGCTGAGGTGACTTCTGAGACCCGTTCAGTTTTAGTGGAAGGGCCTTTATCCATCCAGTGAAGGTGTCTACAAAGACTAACAAATACCTCAGTCCCTTGCATGGTGCATGTGTGTAAAATCTATTTGCCAGTCTTCTCCTGGTAGGGTTCCTCATCTTAGAATGGGTTGAAGGATTTGGGGAGGTTTGTGTGCTCCCTCGGGGTTTATTTGGCAGCCGGTGGGACATGCCTGTGAGATGGCCCATAGAGCTTGGGCTATCCCCGTGCTGGTGAACACTGACTTTGTTAGATCTTGGAGGGCCTTAGCCCCTAGATGAGTTGATTGGTGCACGCTATTTAGAAACTTCCATTGTGAGGCTCCTGGGAGCAAGAGTTTGTCATTAGGACCTTTTAGCCAGCCCTCTGAGGTATGGGAGAAACCTCTTTCTAGAGCTTTTTGGGCTTCCCCCTGTGTATAGTGTGGAGACAGGGGAGTTAGGCTAGGAACGAAGACAACCTGAAGGGGTGACCTGACAGCCACTTTTACTTATTTGTCAGCCCAGGTGTTCCCGATAGAGATTTCATCATTGCTTCTCTGATGGGCTTTGCAGTGAATGATAGTTACCTGTGGGGGAAGCATAACTACCTCCGACAGGGCCATGATTTCAAGAACACGTTTAATTGAAGTATTTCAGGCCGTTAAAAGTCCTCTTTCCTGCCAAATGGCTGCATGGGCATGCACTACATGAAAGACATAGGCTGAGTCTGTGTAAATATTAAGCCTCATGCCTGCCCCTAATTGTAAGGCACAGGTAAGAGCAATGAGCTCAGCCTTTTGGACTGAGGTGCTACTTCCTGGCAGAGGTCCAGATTCTGTGGTTTCAGTTAGGCTAATAATAGCATACTCTGACAGTTGGGTTCCACCTATCATAAAGCTACTGCCATCTGTGTACCATGTGGCCTCTGAATCTATAAGGGGAGTATCCTAGAGGTCTGGTCTAACATTACAGGTTAGATCTATGGTTTCCAAGCAAGAATGTTTAAGTGGTCCCTCCACATTTGGGTTTGGTAACAGGATGCCAGGATTAAGGGTTGGCAGAGCCTAATACCTAATTCTGGTGCCTATAGAAGGAGTGTTAGAAATTTGCTTATATGGCTCTGTGAGATCCAGTGAAAGGCCTTTGAGTTTAGGACATTCATTACTTGATGTGGGGTGTACACAGTTATTCTTTGGCCCAGAGTTAGCTCGGAGGCCTCCACAACCAGGGGAGCCACACACACTAGCACTCAGAGGCGTGGCAGCCATCCCCATGCCACTGGATCAAGGGTTTTTGACAAGTAACTAATTGGCCACTAGGAGGGTCCCAGTCGCTGAGTGAGGACTCCAAGTGCTGTATCCCTTCTCTCAACTACAAACAAGTAAAGATGCTTTGTAAGATCTGGCAAGGCCAGGGCGGGGGTTTCTTTGAAGGTTTTTAGAACATTGTCCATTTCAAGGCTCCAATTTAAGAGTTCCTCCCCTGATCCTTGCAGTGCCTCATAAAGAGGTTTTGCTCTAAGTCCAAACTGGGTTATCCAGATAACCTACCATTGAAACCTACCATTTGAAGAAAGGACTACAACTGATGTTTAGTGGATGGAATGTCCATGTTTAGGATAAGATTTTTGCAGTGGTCTGAGAGACCCTTGGGCCCTGGGATTAATGTTAGTTCTAAGAATCAAACCTCCTGAGAGAAGATTTGAGCTTTGGAAGGAGAGACTTTATAACCACAAGGGGCCAATGTCTGAAGAGTTATAATAGTATTTAGGTCTGAGGCATTTTTGGTTGGATTACAAATAAGCAGGTTATCAACATATTGAAGGACTGCTTGAAGCTAGGAGTTTGAGACCAGCCTGGACAACATAGTGAGACCCCTTCTCTAAAAAAAAATATTATAAGCTGTGGGTGGATGCACACACCTTTGGTCCCAGCTTCTTGGCCAGCTAAGATGGGAATGTCGCTTTGGCCCAGGAAGTAGAAGCTGCAGTGAGCTATGACCATGCCACTGCACTCCAGCCTAGATGGCAGAGTGAGACCTTGTGTCAAAACAAACAAAAACCTGCAGGCCCTGTGCTAGCCACTTTATGGATATATAAATATATATGCATAGGGTAGATACTCTTCACAACAAAGGGAGTAGGTAGGAATTTTTTTATATTTCAAATAAAGAATAATCTCATTTCACATAAAGATACTTGAATTTCAGGAGCTTAAAGAACTTGCTGAAAGTTAAAAATTAAGTATGTGACAAGGTTGGAATCTGAACTCATCTTTCACCGCTACTACTATACAGCTTCCCAGGTTTGTAATAGTAATTAAGTCAAGGAGGGAAATAAGTAAAATTGTCCAATGAAAGGGAAGCAGCACAGGTATAAATGAACTTACCTGTCATAAAGACCTCCTTCTTATCATGCAATGTCCTGCTTAATATATAGATATAAATAAGATCCATGTCCATTATTAGCTCAACAAGTAAAATAATTCATTTTATTTTCCTTTGAGGGTTTTTTCAGAAGGGAAAAAAGTGGGCCAGCACAGAATATGTTCTAATCATGAGTACAGAATAGGAGAGTCTTTGTTTTTGTGTTTGTTTTTATTTTTGTTTTTGTTTTTTTGAGAGAGCGTCTTGCTCTGTTGCCTAGGCTGGAGTGCAGTGGTGTGGTCTCGGCTCACTGCAAGCTCCGCCTCTCAGGTTCACACTATTCTCCTGCCTCAGCTTCCCGAGTAGCTGGGACTACAGGTGCCCACCACCACACCTGGCTAATTTTTTTGTATTTTTGGTAGAGACGGGGTTTCACCGTGTTAGCCAGGATGGTCTCGATCTCCTGACCTCGTGATCCGCCCAAAGTGCTGAGATTACAGGCGTGAGCCACCATGCCCAGCCAGAATAGGAGATTCTTTGTAAATGAGTATATGTGTTTAAGAAATATGTTCATACGTTATGTTGAAGCAGATGCCACATATCCACACAAACCACATTAGCATCAGGGTTTTTTTCAAATTTCAGAAATAATTTTCATGCACACATGTAAAAATATAAAAGCATTCATGAACACATTACTCATTTCAGTAATACGTATTTTAATACATAAATGATTTAGTTTATCAATAAATTAATTTATGAGTGTGATAAAGAACAGAGGACACAAGAATTTATGCAGCATTGAAAGTCTTTGGCCACTGGGTGTCATGATTTTCCCCTGTAATGATTAACCCTTTGGCAATAAAAGATCCTGAATTTTTGGAGCAGAACACTTCAGTGTTACATGGATTAGCATTGTAAAGAGAAAGTTTTATTAAAATATGCCACCGTTTCTTCTCAGATTATTATGTCATACATAAACCACATTATTAGTGTAGTTTTTTTACCTGAAACTGACCAAGAAACATTAAACGTTGGGATATTTAAATAAGAAAGAAATACACAATTCTGTTGGTCATCTTCAAGTTTTATTATATCCAGGTTAAATCTGAAGAATTTGTACAGTGTATTGATGTGTGTGCCTGGGTACATTTTTGGAAGAACTCTTGGTTATACAGGATTTCCATGGTACAGAAGTTAGTCCTAGATATAATTATTGTGTCTTAGTGTCCAACTGCTTTTACCCATGCCTTGTGTGTGCATATATGATGGCAGATGTATTCTAAAACTGCACTATTAATCAGAACCAGATACCTATGTTTTTTCTCTATGAATATGCTCCACTCTGCCAAGTTCGATGGAAGTGAGTGGTTATGACAATTCAAAACAATTGTGGCTGTTCTACAACAGAAATGCTGCTGAACTTGTAGAAAAGACCTGTGCAAACAGAATGAGAAGGCTTAGTTGCTCCAAGGACATCACTGGAAACTTTATTTTATTTTATTTTATTTTATTTTATTTATATTTGTTTTGAAGACTAGTTATTGCCTAAGTTGTAAAGGTGAATCTGATAAAGTGGCTGACTAGTTTAGAGGTCAATATTTAAGCCATGTGATTGAATCTGTAGTGGGCAAGAGTTGGAAAAGATGCAAATGGGTTCATGGGATAGTTATATTTTGTTTTTGTTTTTTTTTTTTAAACTGAATGTGGAAAATATCCAAGTTATGTTTCAATATATAACACTAAATCTTTAAATGACAATTTTTGCATATATTGTTACGGCCATTTAATAAATTGCTTTTTATTAAACCGGTGCAAAAGTAATTGTGTTTTTTGCCATTACTTTCAGACCTCATTTGCTTTGCACCAACCTCTTACTAGTCATAAGATCATCCTTGCTTTTAACATAAAGGGATTGGTGATGTTACCATGATTCTCACTTAAGAATTACTGAGAAAAATACAGCAGTAGGGGTTAGCAAAATCTATTAGTTAATTGAAGGCCTGTGTTTATTTGAATGAAAGGATTTTTCATTTAAATTATAAAAACAGAGCAAGTGCCCAGTTATATCAAATCTGTGTTCAATTTTATTCACAGAGATGGTGACAAAAGAAGAGTAAATGAACAATGTCAGAATCAAAAGATACTCTGCCTGGTAAGAACTTGCAATGGAATTTTTTAAAATAAGATTGAAACAAATAAAAACACGTTGAAAACTCATTAAATATTTTTAAAGTACTTGCTGTTTTAATGAAACTGAACAACAAAGACCCTCCCTTACTGAGCCTGCAAGCTAGTGGGGGACTCCAGTACTAATCAAACTATCACAAAAATATGCCTTTAAAACACATCACATTCTGTGAGAAAAGGTTCAGAAAAGGTTTCTCTGATGAACTGATGTTTGGCAATCAGGCCAGTGGAAATGGGGCTTGGGGCGAGGATGATGTCGGTTGTCCAGGTAGCACTCTTGAGTCGAAGGTGCATGGATGGTTGAGGGACTGAGAGAATGTTACTGCAGTTAGAAATTACAGGATGAGGGTGCGGTTCTGGGCATTGCAGGATGGAGACATAACACATGATGCATCAGGAGAGAAAAGGAAGGAAGGGCTGTCTTGCACAATTTTTTAAAGATACACTGAGAGGGCGAGGTGGTGGGCGCCTGTAGTCCCAGCTACTTGGGAGGCTGAGGCAGGAGAATGGCGTAAACCCAGGAGGCGGAGCTTGCAGTGAGCTGGAGATCCGGCCACTGCAGTCCAGCCTGGGCGACTGAGCGAGACTCCGTCTCAAAAAAAAAAAAAAAAAGATACACTGAGAACCTTGGCCACTCCTTAAGAGCTCACACTAGAGAGCATAAGAGCAGGTAGAAGACTGTCACAGTTATCCGGAGTAGAGATGATGATAGCTTGCATAACAGTGGTGTTGGTGAAGATGGAAAAAATTAGGTAAAATGAGAGATGTTGTGTGTGCGTATATATATATGTATATATACATATATATGTGTTCTAATACTCAAGTTGGTTCTGTTTCTCTGGAGAACACTGACTAATGCAAATGATAATTGAAGTATTGGTGTCATGGGTATAATTAAATTGCTTAGGTAGAGTATACAGTGAGAAGACAGGAGGTCAAGGAAGGACCTCTGAGAAATTCCAGCACTTAAAAGCTCATATAGGAAAAGTTTAGTATTGGGTTTACTCAACGCTCCTACTCCTCTTCCTTCATTGCAGAAAATTACTCCTGCACACACATATCTGCTTGGAAATGGACTTACACGTGTAGTTTTCTTGTCATCTTCTGTTTTCTTCCTGGACTCCACCATTCTGGTCACGTTTGATGGGATCAGCTGTCCAATATGATCCAAATAGACAATATGATTTTCTTCCTGGAAAGAACAAAATACGCAACCTGATACTGAGAACCTCTCAAGTCACTGAAAGGTCTTCTGAATTATTTGAGTTCGGCAAGGGCATTTCATTGAACCTTGAATTGAAATAATTATCTGTCTAATAGGAGCAAACTCAGGCTAAATATAGACTGTGTACAAACCTAGAACACATGTGGAATCATCAGTTATTGAAAGATAAGGCCAGGCGCAGTGGCTCATGCCTGTAATCCCAGTACTTTGGTAGGCCGAGGTGGGTGGATCACCTGAAGTCAGGAGTTTGAGACCAGCCTGACCAACATAGTGAAACCCCATCTCTACTAAAAATGTAAAATCAGCCGGGTGTGGTTGTGCATGCCTGTAATCCCAGCTACTTCAGAGGTTGAGGCAGGAGAATCACTTGAACCCAGGAGGCAGAGGTTGCAGTGAGCCGAGATCATGCCACTGCACTCCAGCCTGGGCAACAAGAGTGAAATTCCACACCCCGCCCCCACCACAAAAGAAAGAAAGATAAGTCATTACTTTAATAACTGTGGCAGAGTTCACATCTCATTTACCCTCACCAGCAGGGTGGATGGGTATGAAGGCCAACACCAATTTATAACCCAAACCCATTCTCACCAGCAGGATGGGTGGGTATGAAGGCCAACACCAATTTATAAATATATTATCTTTACTTATCCAATTTCCTGGTTGTGTATTTTCCCCCCAAAATAATTATAGCCTTACTATGCAATTTGTCACATAAAGTTTGTTTTCAAGAAATGTCTTCAGGTAACATCTTGTATGCATGTGCTAAAAACTGTTGTCCCTGCCTAGTTGCCTTTAAAAAGTTATTATGTATATTTGAGGTTTACAGAATAATGTTATGGGATATGTGTATCTCACTCATGGTCTTGAAAGCAAATATACCAATTATTTTCTTCTTTTGGAATTCTAAGTGTCCAGCCACAATGGAGTCATCCACTGAGGAGTGGAAGAGTTTCACTCCACTGAGTTATTGTAAATGTGTTTGGGGCTTCCAACTGAGAAGTAACCTCATCAGACAGTTTCTACAGACTCCTATTCTATATTTCATTGCTACACAATGAATCAAAAGTAAAGACCCCAAGAATGTCTCTCCTTTCTTAGGTCATAACACCACAGGGGCAATTGCACTATTTCAAAAGGCAGACCATTCTAGTGTCTGTTCTCAGGGTTTGTTTCTGTTGAAGCAGAGCTAAGGCATTTTACAGCCCAGAAATAAATTCTAATGACAAATTAATTCATGTATTTCTTTACAACAGTGTCTCCGTGAATTGAAATAAAAACCCATTGGCACAGTAGGAAGGATGATCTTTATCAGGGAGGGTCACACTAGTGACTATTACTTCTGCTGCATATCCCTTTGAAAACCAGAAGGGCAAAGTTGTTTAGATTACACCTAAATTGATTCCGCAGAGGGTGTGTGTAGAGAAATGAGGATCACCTGTGTGACAGGCAGTTTATCACTATACATATACATTTACAAAATGCATGTTTTAGAACTGTCAGCTTTCCTTTTATATCATCATCGTCAAGTATTTTAAAGAGTGAAATAAAATGTATTGAAATGCACTTGACAATGATCAGGGCACAGCATAAAGCCTGGAGAGCTGTAGTTTGCAGTGAGCCTGGGATTTTGAAGTGCTATACTAAGCAGCCATACCGATTGACTTGTGTTTTAGTCCTGTGAGGTTTACCTGTTGTCTTTCCCAAATTTCCCAGAATTTTATCCTGGAAGGCTCTGGCTGATCCTGAATTAATATTTGGGTGTACCTTGAGTCTTTCTTCCATGTCATCTAAAGTCTAGCCTCTGGAACCCAGCTGGGAAGGGCTCAGTCTGCCTAGCACAGGCAAGGCCTGGAAGCAGACCTCAGGAAGGGCCAAACTACCCCCGGATGGCCAGGAGAACCTGGGCTGTATGGGGCTATGCTGTGAGGGTGTACTGCTTTCCTGGGAGAGAGCAGACCAGGACAGACCTTCAGAGTCCAGGCATTCAACCATGTAGAAAGGAATTAGAGGAAAAAAAAAAAATAGGAAGATAGTGAAGCATACAGAGCAGGCTGCTTCAGTGAAGAACTGTGATGAGAATTACAAGGATTTGCTGAGGGGAGTAAAACAGTAAAAAAATAACAAGGACAACAGTGCAAGAGAAAGTGAGGGAGAAGCAGACAGAGAGAAGATGCAGCTATGCACACATGCAAAGGCAGAGAAAGAAAAAGATATGCTTGTGTATATGTGTGTAAGGAGAGAGAGAAATAGAGACAAAAAGAAGGGGTTTGTGTCAGCCATGCACCAAAATATTCTTAATCCCAACACTCAAGGCTTCATTGGGAGATATTAAAAAGTTGAAAGTTCTACAGTGATACTGTCCATCATATAAACACTGAGTGGCATCTGATTATAAAGTTATAATAGCAGTACTTTTTAATTTTTAATTTTTCTTCGTTGTATTATCCTATAGCAATTGTAAGAGTACATAAAGTTAATAGTTTTTTGTTATTTTATTAATTTAAAATTAAAGCGAGTTTCAAGGAGTTATTTTGGTGCTTAAATGAAATGTAATTCCAAATGCATTGATTGAATGCCTGAAATGTGCCGGGCACAGAGAGATGCTGAAGTGTAAGACCCAGGGGCATCTATGAACTTCTAAAGTAATTGGACCTATAGGCAGGTTTACTAATCATTGAAATGCAAAGGAGAATAAGCCACATGCACTTAAATGAATTCATTCAGTGATTCAGGGGTTGAAATTGGGAAAATCACAGTTGACTCTAAAGAAACAAGTAAATACTCTGTTAAGAAGAGAAAATTGAAGGAGATAGGAAAGGAAACACAATTTCTATTGGCCTAGTAGAAGCAAGGACTAAAAGCCAGACATGGGCCATGTCTGGAAAAGAGTGAACAATCCCATGTGGCTAGAGCAAGGGTGAATGCAGAATGAGGATGGAAGACTAATGCTGGAGGTGGGGATTGCAAACATCTGAGGAAGACTCACAATGCCAGTTGGAGGAATGTTCAGGTATTCAGTGGGTCAGGGGAGCTGCTGAATGGTTAGAACTGAAGAAGAATGTTGCAATGAATTGCAGAAGTATGTTTGCATACACATTACAGAGATTGTTACTAACTTGATAGAAGGTGATTAAAGGCTCACCCTACACAGCAGAAACCCAAGTTTTGAGACTTATCCTCAGGTATGATACTATCCTGTGTAGCAGCACTGCCCAACAGAACTTTCTGTGGTGATCAAGAATCTGCGTATCTGTACTGTCCAATGTGGTGGCCACATGGGGTTACTGACCACTTCACATGGGGCCAGTGGGACTGAGAAATTAATTTTAATTTTATCTAATTTTAACATATTTAACTATAAACATAAATCACCTTAGGTTGCTGCTACTGATTACTATATTAGATAGAAGATACAGCTATATAAGGATGTAGCATGAAAAGAAAAAATTTATAAAACATGTTAAATAATATAAGATTTTGGTCCACTGAGGTCCAGAAGTTTCTCCTATTTCCATTTCTAATACACTGTTAGGTTAATTATCAGAAAATTTCTGCCTCATTATGAAACTGGATATTTAGAACATTGTCAAGGATACCCTAAAGGGTATTATGGACCGAGAGTCTAAAGTCTAATCTAATTTAACAAATCCCCAGTTTCTGTTTTCCTGTCTGTTACAGTCACTTGACCAATTTTAATTGAATGCTGTCGTGTAGTGTTTATCAAATACCTTCAACCTTTT